GAATTCTCACTGTGGAAATGAATGGAACTTGTTAAAGCTTTTGCAGAAAATTAGGGCCTCGATAGGAACTGAAATAACAATAACAGCTTAGTAACTCACTTTACACAGCTCCCAGGACTAGTCCCATTGTTTTGGCAGCCACAAGAGCATGTTGGGCAGTTCACAATTGTGTCATTGTAAAATGACGAGAGAGATACACAACAGGTTGGAGTCTTCTGAGCAAGAAATTGTGAGTATGTGCAGGTCACATTCCATGTCACTGCAAGTAGAGTTTATCTTGTTAAGAATCAATAAAGAGAAATTTCTGGTATAAGACTTAAAACATAATTTAACTTCTCATAACGCCATCACGATGCTTATCTGCATTTGACATAAATTTTATGCTAGACAACAATATTAACTGTACTATGCTACATTCTATGAAGCCGAGCAATAACCTACAACAAACAAACGTTCCTAGGTAATGAACTCATCTCACTTAGAGAATAATCTCTTCTCATTCAATGGACTACATTTTCTCACTTCCCTACAGATATGGTAGCCTAGCTTAAACATGCAAGATTTTTGTTCGTTTAGTGCAAATGCATTTACTCAAAGAGTACAAGCAATTGATATCAGGCAGTAAAGAGAGCTACTTACTTAGAGCTTGGGTTGCCCTGCGCCCATCATTGGTGAAAAACTTAGTAGGCCTAACAATCATAGCACGCCCACATGTGTACCCAGGACCTGGGGCCTTAAGAGTAAAGTTCTTAGGCAGCTTAACTGTCTTATTTGTAGTCCCAGCAAGACCTACACTGATCTGGAAGGATGAAGCAGCATTTAATGGGTCCTGGTTAAATGTATTTATAACTCCTGCTTTGCAGCAATTGGCAATTTGCATGTTGTATGGGGTGCCTGGAAGCAGATCAACAATCGTGGGATCTTTCTTGCAGCAGTGGGGTGGGTTGCCCTTGAACTTTGAGCAATCACCCTGCTCAGTGGTCTGTGCTCCAACCATCGACCAAATGACCTCCTTCTTCGCCCATGTCCACCCCAGCTGCCACCCAGGTGCCTGGATGTGCCGAAATTGTTGATAATTGAACATTGTGACTACAGCCTGCACAGGAGACATTTGGGGGAAAATCATGATACACAAACATACAGGTTAACCAGATATCCGTATAATATGATAACATGCATCTTGCTTACTGTATTATTATCTGTGGCACATATTTCTAATCAGTTGTTACTTGTTAGTTATACTATTAGTTTTGCATTGCAAGACAATTTCTATAAAATAAAATTATCGCTCAATAATAGGTTGAGATGAAAGATACGAATGATGGATGTGCTACTTACAACGTAACCATCAGGAGTCCATTGCATAACGTCCCATTTTATTGTGATGTTCCCATTTGGATCCAGCGAATCATAAGCTTCTGCAAGAAAAAAAAGAGAGAGAATATGAATTAAGCATTAAGTTACATCCCGATTCCGATTTAAAAGGTACACACCACACAACTAATAAGAAATTCGCGGTGAATATTATTTCTAAAAAAAAAATCTGAATTAGAAGTAGTAAGAAATTTGCACTAATTTCTCTGTCCTGAACTGAACAGATCCATCACCGAAATGCTTGAGATGAAGATTCAGCGAAGATAGCAAAGACTGGTGCTGGTAAGGAAGCTCTGTGTGTGCTCCTCCCAATTGCCCTAAGCTACCTAATTCGACCTCAGAATTCGTGCAAGCATGAGAGAAATGGAAGTCCCTAGTGAATTTGGAGCCCAACCAGGAGTACCAAAAACAGAAAGAAGCCAATGACGCCGAACTGGAGCCACCGACACTGTAAGGACAAGCAGCCCGGGAGTCGCATTGCCCACACGCACGCGACGGAATCTCGCGGCCACCTCGTCCGATCATCCTCCTCATCGGCGATCGGGGCCTAACAAAGCTCGCCGGCGACAGCGACGGCCGGCCGACGGACACGGCAGCACGAGCAGAGAGCTAGCGAGATGATACAGGTGGCCCAAGAAAGCGGGGGAAGCAAAGCTACGACGAACCTGTGGCGCTCGGCGCGGAGAGGAGCAGCGCCGCCACGAGCAGCGCGGAGGCGCCCCACGCGACGGATCTTGCGCTCCCGGCGCCGCCACCCGCCGCCATCATCCCCGGACACGGCACCAACACCACACCACCACACCGGTAGGCAGGTAGGTACAGTACAGCCAGCCGCAGCGCGCAACCCCCCGCCGATCTCGCGCGCCGCCTGCCTCCCCTCGGAATGCGCGCGTCGGCGTCCGTCCGGCCGCCGGCAATTGGGAAGCGAGGAGCGGAGGTGGTGGGGAGATCTGGGGGGCGGTGGTGGTGTGAGGAGTGTGGGGCTTAAAGCATGTGCGGGCTCCTCCCCTGCTGTTTTTTTTTTTTACTGCGACGAGACGACGACGCGGCGCGCGTCACCTCAGTCTCGTCGCTCTCCTCTCCTCCCCCGCGCGGGCGTTCTCGTGGAGGTTGAAGCCTAGAAGGGTAATATTGGGGTTTTTTTTTGGTTGCCGCGAGCCCGCGAGCGATAGCGTGGGAGGGAGTCTGGTAGATGGATGTGGACGCACTAACATCTGGGGGTGATTTTACGGGGATGCCCCTCGCTCACACGGCTGTTGATGTGCTGCATTGGCGATTCCAGAGTTCAGACAAACAGGGACGACCTGAAAATCAACTCCCCTCCGCAACTGATTGAGAGGTTAATCGGAAAATTTTATGGGAATGTATGTCTGTGTTTGATAGTGTGATTCGGCTGTTACGGTTAACTAATATTTAAATTCTGAACTTGACGTTGGTATTTGTATTTATGGTTAACTATTTTTCGGTGGTAGACATCAATGGTGATTTCGTTAATTTTTCAGAAGTGTTTTATAGGGTAGAGTATGCATGTGTGTCTTTTTTTTTCTATGAGTGCACGTGAGTTGTAAGCGTATGCGTTTATACCGTTCTTAGAAAACTCGCTACATATAAAACTGCATGTCTCTTATCTGTTCGTGCAAGTTTAGAATGCAAAGAACTTAAAAAAACAGTTAGTATTCAAAACAAAATTGATCAATCACTCCATTATTCAGTGTTGCGTTTACTTAATGGTATAGTGTGTTTTTTATGTTAACAATGTCTCCTGAAGTCCTGATCCGAGGCAATCATTCCAAACAAAAAGGTTTGTTACACTCTCACTTTCACCTAGCTGCAGCCTGCAAGTGATAATAGTCGACTAGTACTACAATAGCCAGTCATAAGGGGCAAAACGGGAAACACTCGACCAGCTTTACTAGCTTTGTTAAAATAGTGACAGAGGCTGATGACTTTGATTAGACAGAGGCCAAGCCACACATGCAGCCGACACTTCAGGGAATAAAAAGAAGAGCAGAAGAATCAGGAGAGAGAGAGAGAGAGAGAGAGAGAGAGAGAGAGAGAGAACGAGGCTGTTTAGTTTAGTCCTGGCGCTAATCAACCAGCGATGATGCACGCGAGATGCAGCTTAATTAGGACGGAAGAGGCAAAGAAAGCTGCTTGAGCTCGGTGCACCAACCAACACCGTGGACACCGTCGCCATCACACTAATTGGTGCTATTATCTGGACGTGCCAACAACCAAATCGCGATCGGCCATGCCATTAAACAATTCAGTATAGTTATGCTTATGCACTTTTCTTTTTTGTTTTGCTCATGGCTAATTAATTAATTGTATTTGCATCGAAATCTCCAGCTGTATGTGTGTAGTCTGTAGCTAACAACTTCCATGTGTTCTTTGCTCTTTTTTTCTCCTTTTCTTTATTGGAAGCATCAGATGAATGAGCTGAGTACAATGGTTTTGGCCAACATGTCAGTGATGGAGTGGATGGTTTTTGTTGAAATTTTCGAGACTCATCGATCAGTTAATTAAGGTTGTTCAAACGTCTGTATTGGTTGAATAGTTAGCTAAGGAGATTGGTTGTGCAAGGAGTTTTTTTAGCAGGGAGATTTTTGCTAACCTGCTAATAGAAAAATATATCTGAACAGTTTGGAGAATGATAATCAGTTAATTATTTGCAAGATTAAGCGCTAAATTAACCTGGAAATTAAAGTCCCAAACATGCAAAGCATGAGGGTGATCATGTACTCCATTCATAATGTGCTGAATCTTTGGTCCCTACCATTCATAAGTTTAGTGACGCACTGACGCCTGACAAATGAATGAACACTCCATGATTTGAAACGAACTTTCTTCTTCATATCTGCTACAATAAATTTCTTTGAGAACATTAATTTTGTTGCAATAAGTTCTGCTCCTTTTTTTTTCAAAAAAGAAAAACTTCTAGCTACGGAACCAAATTAGAGTTAGTCATCCGCAAACTAAACACATTGAACAGGACATGAGGGAATTGGGGGCATCCAAATGTAATGAGCTACACTAGTTCTTTTCCTCTCTTTCCCAACTTTACTTAATTATTCTTTACGCACACACTTCGCAAACTGCTAAACGATGTATTTTTAAAAAATATATGTTAGGAAAGTTGTTTTAAAAAATCATATTAAGTTATTTTTGTAGGTTTTTTTATTATATTTAGTCCAATACCTAATGAAAACAAACATATATTCCATTGAGGTACGAGGGCCTCTTATTCCACAAGAAAAAAAAGAAAGCACATTTTTATTATTTCACATATCACGGGGGTTTTTACTTGGAAAATATGATATTCCATACTAAAGGATTCGGGTGCATAACCACGAGTTCCAGTGCACAAAATTTTGTAACACTTAGCAGTGAGACCTTATGAATAGGCATATAATTTTTGGTCGGCAAATTCGTATGAATCATTGAGTGAAAAAAGAGAAAAAAAAGACGACACTACTAGTGTTCACTCTTATGGTTTCCTTGGTTTCTTTTCTTATTCTAGATCTCGATTTTTATGGTTCTTATCTTTGCAACTCACGATTTTTGGGAGAGAACAAATCCAATTTAGCGAAAATCATGAATTGGTCTGGCATAGTAGTGATTACTTTTGTAATTACGGTTCGAACCTATTAATTAACCACGGGCTAGTCGTCGCTCTATTTTATATGTATAGAGATTAGTTCCCAACCCACGATAACAAACACAATCATGGACATATTGTGAAGCTTAACTATTCTCAAATACAATTTTCTTTTTTACGTTATCCGATTGTATCAAAGGAGTGGTACATCCGTATATCACGTAGCAACTGGTCGACAGAGTTGTACTTCCGTTATAAAATGAAGTTTCAGGATATTTCTGGATAATGATTCCCTGAAAATCATTTTCTCTTTATTACAATTCAAACGGGAGACCATCCTGTTAAAAACGCTGATTAAACTTATAGCACAATTTCATAACTCAATGTGAGCAGTTGAGCACATATTTCTAACTAAACCGTGTAAGCATCGTATTTCCAGTTAGATGCCGTATACATCCTATTCGTCTGTTTCTCTCAAGTTTTTAGCAACAATAATTTTAGCGAAAAACCACAAGCCTCTATCATCATCCAATGATTCCAATCCCCCACGCCAAAGAAAACGAGTACAACGTGCCAAAATACTACATGGGCCGGAGCACTGCCTTAATGGGCCTAACTCGCGAGCTCAGCAACGGCCACGCGATTTTTTTCCCTTTTCTTTCTTTGGGCTCAAGCAAAAAGTGGGGAGAAAACGGGTAGAGAGAAAAGAGGAGGAGGAGCCCCAATCCGGGACGCCATTGACGCCCTCCCAGGAAGGTCAGAGTAGAGGGAGGCGAGGAACACATGACCTCCTCCTCTCCTCTCTTCGTGGAAGAGTAGTAGTGGTAGTTGGTGTTGCGTAGAAGAGAGCACGGAAGCGATACGCGGCGGGGAAGAGAGCAGAGCAGCCGGGTGGCCCGTTCTTGCCGCCGCGGCGCCGTCGTCGCTGCCTTTCTCGCCTCGGGAGATCGCGGATTAGAGGAGGAGTTGGGGGAAGAGGAGGGTTTGGGGGCAATGGATACTACCACGAGGGCCAAGATCCCGTCCCTTCACCACCAGACGGAGATCAACTGGGACAAGTAAGCGCATCTTGTTCTTGTTCCTTTTTGTTCTTTCTGGCCAATTCCCCTTTTTTGCTCCGGGGATCATTTGGACTGTCCGGGATCAGCGTTATGAATTGTGATATACTCCGTAGGTAGTTGTTCTTGTAAATGGATGAAGCGCAATTTAGTAAGATGTGGTTGATGCTGGCTTATTGGTTAGCTTTCTTAATCAGCGTTAGAGATTGTGATATAGGAAGTTGTTCTTGTAACTGGATGAAGCGCAATTGAGTTAAATGTGGTTGATTCTGGCTTATTGGTTAGCCTTCTAGATCAGCGTTAGAGATTGTGATATAGGAAGTTGTTCCTGTAACTGGATGAAAGCGCAATTGAGTAAGATGAGGTTGATTCTGGCTTATTGGTTAGCTTTCTGATTCACATGTTATTCAGTATTCACACATTGCTGTATCTATTTACTTGTTGTAGCCTCGACAAGACCAAGCTCTATGTGGTGGGAGCCGGGATGTTCAGTGGCGTGACCGTGGCGCTGTACCCGGTATCGGTGATAAAGACCCGGATGCAGGTAGCCACTGGGGAAGCCGTGAGGAGGAATGCCGCGGCAACATTCAGGAACATTCTCAAGGTGGACGGAGTGCCCGGGCTGTACCGAGGGTTTGGGACAGTTATCACAGGGGCCATCCCTGCTAGGATTATCTTTCTTACAGCGCTTGAGACAACAAAGGCGGCCTCGCTTAAGCTTGTTGAACCATTTAAGCTGTCGGAGCCGGTACAAGCAGCCTTTGCCAATGGCCTTGGCGGTTTGTCGGCATCTCTATGTTCGCAGGCTGTGTTTGTGCCCATTGATGTGGTATGCCTGTTGGTTTCCATTTTTCATGATATTATAGAGAATTGTGATATTGTTGCTAATTACTAGACTTGGAAAATGTGATAACCATGCTCATTTGGCTTGATCAGGTTAGCCAGAAATTGATGGTTCAAGGATATTCTGGTCATGTTAGATATAAGGGTGGACTTGATGTTGCCCAACAGATTATAAAGGCTGATGGAATTCGGGGGCTGTACAGAGGATTTGGCCTGTCTGTTATGACGTACTCACCATCTAGTGCTGTGTGGTGGGCAAGCTATGGGTCCAGCCAGCGCATAATTTGGAGGTTAGCTATTATCTGATTGGTCTATCAGTTATCAGTATGTTCTTCTCAGTTTCATGCATTTTATGACGCTTAATTTTATAATGCCTGGACAGTGCTTTTGATCGTTGGAATGATAAAGAAAGTTCTCCTAGTCAGTTGACAATAGTTGGTGTCCAAGCCACAGGGGGGATTATTGCTGGTGCAGTGACATCCTGTGTTACAACTCCCATAGATACTATCAAAACCAGACTGCAGGTGCTGTTTTACATCTCTGGTTGTTGCTGCTTATTCTGCCTACTGGATGCTAAGCATTTTCTTTGCCAGGCCTACTGTTGTCACTAGCATTTTATAGTTTTACATTGATACCACTCATATGCCAGTAACCTGACTCCATTATCAATAAACTTGTTGAGACCTAGGAACATGAAGATTTGTGTTCAAAGTTTATTGATGTCAGAGTAAAGACATAAAAGATGATATGTTGGTATATGTGATAACGTCATCATACCAAGAAAATAGACTTGAGGAATACTTTCTATGTTAGGCCAGATCCACTTCTGTGATTTATTCTGTCAGTTTATTAGATACTTATCATTAGGAGATTGGAAAGGAAAGCTTCATTGATTCGCAACTTCGATTTTATAGGTGAGTAGAATATAAATGCTGCATTTCTTAACTGACTTGGGGAGTATTTCAGCGACATGGCACGCGTTCAATCCACAGCCCCTTTTCTTACTGTTACAAGTCGCATCTGTATTGGTTATTCATCTTGCAAACTTTTGAATTCTTTCGTACTTTCCGTTGCAACCAACTTCTTGCTCTTAACCATAGTATTCAATTTCCTTTCCTTCTACCTGTTTATAATATTACCTTTCTTCTTCTGTTTTTCTTTAAATATCGGTACAGTAGATGCTCTATACATTTGCCAGATTTATCATTTTTGTTATTTTGTGATGTTTATTGTACTTGTAGATACTGTCAATATTGGTTTAGGTCAGTTTTACCAAGTTTTCTTTCTTGCCAAATAGGTTAATCAAAACAAACCAAAAGCCATGGAAGTAGTTAGAAGATTGATTGCTGAAGATGGATGGAAAGGTTTCTACAGAGGTTTAGGTCCAAGATTTTTCAGCTCATCAGCTTGGGGTACCTCAATGATAGTATGCTATGAATACCTAAGTAAGTCCATCTCTTTTTTTTCCAGGTGTCGGTATAGTAGTGTACTGTACGTTCTATTCTTGTAACCAACATTTCCAATGCATTTTGCATCCATATATTACTACAGTTCAAGTGATTAAATTTGTGACATGAGAAAATTTATCTTATTTTGAACTTAAGGTGTATCAGTGTATGTTCTCATGTTGTCAACTTGTCATCGTCAGTGCTAAAGCAGACACTTTTTTTTTCCTTCCGACAGAGTGGAACTAGTGTTGTTTCATGAATAACATCATGAAGCATGCAAATTAATGCTTTCTTCTTAAATTCTTGGCAAATGGACTCTAACTGTATATTGCTTCTGTGCTTATTTTTCCAGAGCGCTTGTGTGCTAAAGTTGAAGAGGTCTGAGTCAGCTTAAACCTATCACTCTGATGCTCGCAGTGGTGGAAATTTTGTAGCAAAAATCCAATAATGCTGTATGCCAACAACTGTGACCCATGAGGAAGCTCTCTTTCTTGCTGACTTGATACTAGATATCTTTAAAATTTTAGTGCTCTTGAGGCTATTTTGAAAATGCAGAGGTTCATATTGTTTGCCTCTAACGATGAATATGGATTAGGCAGAATGTTTTACATGATATATAAACGAAAGATTAGATATGTTCACTTTTCATTCTTTTTAGCTCCAGCCTCCAGGGCTTGTAATAGTGAGACCGGAGTATTGGAACCGGTTTCAGTGAGGAGGAGCAAGGATATATATACATTTGCTCGTTTCTCTTCGATGTACTCAAAATATCATTCTTCGAATTTTTTTACGATGGTGCTGGTCTTCGTTTTGTATCAATAATCATTCGTAGCGAAATTATTTTCTCCCGATATTTGTTCATATTCAGGACTGATGTGGAAATCATGCAGTGTTAGGGGTGTGTTTTATACTCCCTCATCCTAACTCCTGCTTGTTTTTTCATGTAAACACTTCCTAAACCGCTAAACAATATAATTTTTTAAAAATATATATATATATAAATTGATTTAAAAATTTATATTAATCTATTTTTATGTTTTTAGCTAATACTTAATTAATTATATGTTAATCAATCGCTCTGTTTTATACGTTGGGAAGAGCCAAAAAGGAACACACCGGGTCTCCTCCGTTTCACAATATCAATATGAATGTGGAAACTGTGAAAACTGCTAAAATGACTTAGATTGTGAAACGGATGAAGTAATATTTTGCCTATGGCTTATTATAAAGTTGTAATGCTTATTAGTGAGAAAAAAATAATTTACAGGTAAAACTTTTATAACGATAGTTAATGTGGAAAATAAACTATAATGAAAAAACATCAAAGGTCTCATCTTTTCGTTTATGCTTATGGTTATCAGCTAAAATTTGATTTTTTAACTTTAAATTTGGAGCTGATTTTGAGATTTTTTCATCGAAGTTTTTTTTTCAGTCTTTGCTTTTAGATAATTAAGAACACATATATAAAAGTTTTAGCACAATATTTTTTAAATATGCCGTTTCACTTATTCCGTGAATAAGCGAAATGATGGCTCCGCAAAATTAAATCTAATTGATTTTTTTTTGTTACGGCTAATGAAGAGCAAACGATGGACGGATGGAGCCCAATGGTCAGTCCAGTAGCGGTTCGTCAGTCCAGACCAGTTCCTAGCTCCGAACAGAGTCCTTCTCCGAAGTGCGAACTCGCTGCAAGCCGAATCCGCCGCGCCGCCACACGGAGACGAGAGGGAGAGGTCGAGAGGGAGAGGGCGAGGGCGAGATGGACGCGGCGGTGCAGGAGGCGAAGCTGCTGCGCCAGGTGAACGCCCTCATCGTGGCGCACCTCCGCGACCACAACCTCACGCAGGCTGCCGCCGCCGTCGCCGCCGCCACCATGACGCCCCTCGCCCCGCCCGAGCCCGACGGCGACGACTCCGTCCCCGCCAACCAGCTCCTCCGCCTCGTCGCCAAGGTTTGCTATCACTTTCTCCTCGCCCCCCATGTCCTCCTCCCCTCGGGTGGACGGGGCTCGTGCAGTGCAGCGCAGCGGAATCCGGCCTAAACCCTCGCTGTGTCGCTGTTGTTGATGGTTCGCAGGGCCTCGCGGTGGAGCGGGAGGAGACGGGGAGGGGAGGAGGGGCGTTCGACTCTGCCGCCGCCGCCGCTGGATACGGTGGATTGTTGCCGCCGCTCGGCACCAATGCCGTGGATTTCAGGTGTTTTAATTTGCTCGTGGCTCTGGGCATTGACTTGTTAATTCTGTGTACTTGTTGCTGCTGATCATGTATGAATTTGATGGTGAGTGTTCGCTGGTGGTCTGTGCAGCACGCAGGATGTTAAGGGCTCATCCAAGAGCTTCCCCAAGCACGAGGCCAGGCACGTATCTGATCACAAGGTGCAGATGATTAGAGTTCTCCCTTGCGTGATCTGCCACTGAATTCATTGTTTATGCCATTTCCTTCTATTTATCTGAATGAAATCTAAAACCAACTGGGCAACTTTTTTTTTATTTTTAAAAAGGCAAGATAGAAGAATTTAGGAGCATATATCTGGTACCATTTGCAATTTGCACTTGCCATGGTATTTTGCTACACATGGTCTTGCTGTAGATCCTAATAGTAATGAATGGTGTCTTCATTTGCTTACTCTTATGTTGTGTAGAATGTTGTCCGATGTGCAAAATTTAGTCCTGATGGGAAATATTTTGCATCCGGGAGTGGTGACACATCAATTAAGTTCTTCGAGGTGAGATTGAATTGGAACTCAACTACTCAAGTCTCTATCTGCAGGATGGGTTTTTTAGATTTTACCTATTGTTCATTAGTGTTCTTTCTCTTGCAGGTTGCTAAAATAAAGCAGATGATGCTAGGGGATTCCAAAGATGGCCCTGTCCGTCCTGTGATCCGTACTTTTTACGATCACACGCAGGTGAGCATGTCATTCTCATGCATGATAGTTGTCTGTACTACCACTGCGCCCTCTGTTAGCAAGTATACTTATTTACTTTACTGCAGCCCATCAATGATCTTGATTTTCATCCTGAGAGCCCCATACTGATATCTGCAGCAAAAGACAATACAATAAGGTATGCTTAAATTGGTTCTCTCCCACCTTTGGTATTTTTGTTGTGTTCTGAGTTGTTCATCTGGGATCAAGAATATTTAACCAAATGTTCACAAATATATTGTACATTATTTAATTATGTATTTCCTTGATATACCTGCCCAACAGGTTCTTCGACTTCTCAAAAACTGTTGCAAGGAAAGCATTCAGAGTTATTCAGGTGGTAAAATTCTTATTAATATTAAATTCAATCTTCCAAGATATTCTGTAAAATGTGTGCTAGCTGCATCCAGTCAGTGCTCTTATTTTCAATATTTACTTGAACAGGACACTCACAATGTTAGATCCGTATGTTTTCATCCTTGTGGGGATTACCTTTTAGCAGGTAGTACTATTATCCTTTCACCATATGGATTTTACCTGTAAACTTGCTCTGTTGCTCTGGTTATGAGGTTGTGGTATTAATTTGGTTAATACGAACTTTTCTTAGCCTTTCTTTTTTTGGACCAAAGATAAATCAGATGATCGATCCAGCTTTACTGAAAAGCCAACAGAGTCTTACAGCAGAAGACAAAAGATAGCAGGTGGATTTTCCAGCTTACAAGCATGAACACTGAGCCAAAACTACCCACATCTAGACTGAAGAACTACATAAACACATCACCACTCCTTTCAGTTTAGTTGAAACTCCACCAGCTAGATCAGACAGCTATCAAACATCACATCTGCTGCACAATCATATGTCTTCAGGCAAAATGTCCCTAGGCTTCAATTCATTGAGTTTTGCCATGATACTACTGCACCACTTGTCCACCCGCTCGTGATCATTGTCCTTTTGAAGCCTTTTCCAACACTAAAAAAGAAAATAAGATAAACTTATAACCCCACATGCAGTGGAGATTTAACTCGTATCCCTTCAAAAACATAGTTGTTTCTGGTCATCCACAAAGACCAACAAACCCCTTCAAGCAAGACAATTCTATTTATCTGTTTAGCACTACATCTGTTTATGTTAAGGATATCCTCTATGGTGCGAAGCAAGACATTTAGCTTACATACATCCCTCACAGCATTCCAAACATAAGTTCTAAAGGACAATCAAACAGAATGTGATTAGTAGTTTCTCTTTTCTTACACAGTTTGCAAAAGTTTTAGTCAATTTCTCTGATACCAGATGTTATGTGGTAGGATGAATTGGGGTGCTCGACGGGAAGGCGAGGCTGCTGCAGCCTTGCCGCCCCGGAGCCTAGGTGAGGCCGAACAGAGAAGAGTGGAGACTAGAGATAGGTTTAACTTCTTTCTTGATTAATTCCAAATGACTACGGTGCCTCTCCTTATATAGAGCCAGCTCCTAACAAACATCCTAACAACCTTATCTAATAGAGCCTAACAACCTTATCTTATAATGAGAGGGGCTGAGTTCTGCCCATAACATGTGCTCATTTTCGTCCTTCTGCCATGTGGTGTCCCATGTGGACTTGTAGGGTCAGCACCTTCTTTCCAATTTAGACTATGCAAGTGACTGAAATGCGTGCTTTGCATCACCCGAAAAAACAAATAATGAACTGCATAGGGTCATCTTACATCGATAGTAATAAAAATTAGGGCAATGCAGTTACTTTATATAGTTTGTTGCATTTGAGGGCCCTGGATATTGTCTACCCGAACCCTGGATATTACCTGCCTGAGACCATCTGTGATGTCATAAGAGGCATTACCACTAAAGCCTTTCTTTTGTCAAATTTTATTTTGTGCTGATGAACCCATAGTACCTACATTTGAAGTTGGTTTCATATCATACCTTTTTATTGTATTTGATGTGATTGTGAAGTATATAACTGGTCAATGTGCTTTTTGGTATTATCTGGCAAACTCTTTTAATTTATTGTTGAGTTTTAGCTTGCGTACTCATTAGTACTAAGCATGTCTAGATTGCTAAAAACTTCTTATGCAGTGGTTTCTTGTTTTCTAATGAAAATGAGGAACCAGGGTCTAGGTCCTTCATTCTAAAAACTCTTAATTTATTTGACTAAAACTTTTTGGAGTTCTAGACTGAGGATTTCGATTTTGTTGTGGAATCAGGCATTCTTTGCTTCTTTCATTTGATGTAATCCACCCCCCCCCCCAAGTGAAGACGCTCATATGAATATTGCTAACAAACTGATAAAGATGATAACACAAATATGCTATCCATTAGCTGTTTTGATCATGCAATTGATTAAGATAATTTGGACAGTGCCATCCTGACCTGACAAGCAGGCTGCTGCCCCTTAGTGCGCACGAGCTGCTCCCGATGCACCTTCTGTGCACAGACTTATGATTCCACCTGATTCCTTGCAAAACAGAGAGCTCAGCACGTGCTATTGGTGGCCCAGTCAGCCAGTCTGAACTACCAAGCACCTGTATTATATGCTTGATATTTGACAAATATCACAAGTCTAGTTTCTACCGTTTTCTCTGCATTCCTGCTGGAAGCTAATACTAACACATTAATATTCAAGCAAGTGATTCTGATATAAACTTTTGTAGGGACTGATCACCCAGTGGCTCATCTATATGATATTAACACTTTCACATGCTACTTATCGGCAAATTCACATGATTCCAATGCTGCCATTAATCAGGTATTCATTTTGTGTGAAAGGACTTATCCTGGACTTTTTGTTAACTCTAGAAAGATGTATATTTACTGTCCTAGCCTTAGTCACTGATGTTGATGCTAGGTCCGATACTCTTCTACTGGGAGCCTGTATGTGACTGCTTCCAAGGATGGTTCTCTGCGCATCTGGGATGGGATATCCGCTGAATGTGTCCGGCCCATAATTGGAGCACATGCATCTGCAGAGGTTACTAGTGCAATTTTCACAAAAGATGAGAGGTTAGCACGCTGCCTTGTTGTATAAATGAAACCATGTAGCATTGCTATCTGTTATGGTGGCCTCAATGTTCTTTCAGGTATGTCCTATCATGTGGGAAGGATTCTTGTATAAAATTATGGGAAGTTGGCTCTGGACGACTTGTCAAGCAATATGTAGGCGCTGTTCACAGACAATTTCGATGTCAGGTCAGCAATGTGCTTACCCTACTATATTCTCTGATTTACACCATTATATATGTTCTGTTGTCAGCTAAGAACTCCATCTTGGTTGGAACTTTAAAATGTGAGAAAAAGAGTTTGTAATGGTACCGATTATTTATTTAATAGTATTATTTTTGTGGGGAGGACGGGAGGTAATTGCACCATTAACTTTGCTATGGTAATAATTGCCTTTTCATTTCAGGCTGTCTTCAACCAAACGGAGGAATTTGTAGTATCAACCGATGAACAAAACAGTGAGGTAGATTTCAAATTCAGACCAGTATTTGTAACTTTCTTTCAGCATTGCCAACAGAAGCCTGAGTGTGCATATCTGTAATTCTACTTCACCTCCAGGTTGTCGTCTGGGATGCACTTACCGCTGAAAATGTAGCAAGGTTGCCCTCTGGCCACACCGGTGCCCCGAGGTGGCTTGGCCACTCCCCTGCAGAACCAGCCTTTGTTACATGCGGTAACGATAGATCCGTCAGATTCTGGAAACAAACCGTGTAGAAAATGTAGATCCACCAACGAATCAACCCAGAAGTTGGTGGTAGAATTAACTAATACATTGAGATTAAAAAACCTTGTTCATGTGCTGTTCCTTAATTATTTGATTAGTTGTACACTTGTACATGCTACTGAAGTTGTACACTGATGATACTGTACCCAACTTGGTAGGAAAATTTTGGCTCTTGTTGGCATTCATGTAAGCAGAATTCAGAACTTGAAATGCATGTTCTTTTCCATTGTTGCCACGACTGGCATATGCTTATGCTTTTGATGATTTGAGCGTGTCGGAAACTTGGAAATTGGAATCGCGAAGCCCTCCTGAAATTTGAGAACTTGACAAACCATCTGAGCGATGAATGAAAGGAGTGTCAAATTATCAAATCTCTCCTCCAAAAGAGAAGAACACGCGAATCTTCTCTCTTTCTACATGGTCAAGTTGCGAGGAAGAAGAAGAGCCCAGTTCTGCGAACCGGGCCCATACCACTAGAGGCCCATTTGGGCCCAACCCGCTAGATTCGAGTGAACTGGCTCCAACTAAACTAATTTCCCCATTTTTTTTTTCTCTCTCTCCCCCCTTCCAACGAGCACGTTCCCCGTCCTCCTCCTCCGCCCCACCTCGCGTGGCACGCCCATGGCCTTCTCCCCGCGCTCGCCGTGGTCGCGCTCCAGGAAGCCCGACGTGTACTCCACCGTCGTCGTCCACGGGGACGACGACGACGACGACGCCCGCGGCGGCGGCGGCGGCGGCCGCCATGCCCTCGCGGAGGATGACGAGGAGGAGGACCCGTCGTCGCTGCCCCCGCTCCTCCAGCGCCTCCCCAAGGACTTCGGCGGCGGAGCCTCCTTCGACGAGTACGACGACCCCTACTCGTCGGACCTCGACGACGCCTCGCTCTCCGCCACCGTCGTCGTCAAGCGCGGCGCCCCCGCCTCCACCTCGGCCTCCTCCCGATCCCCGTTCCTGGATCTGCGCCGCTCCAGCCCCCGTGCCGCCGAGGTCGACCCGTACTCCACCTTCGTGGTACACGGCACCGCCCGCTCCGGCGGCGCCTCCAGCCCGCGGGAATCCGCCTCCGGCACATTCGTCCGCCGCTCCGGTGGTTCCTCCAGCCCCCGCGAGTCCGTGTCCGGCACATTCATCCGCCGCACGGGCAGCCCCTCCAGCCCCCACGAGTCGATCTCCGGCACCTTCATCCACCACACCAGCGGCGCCTCTAGCCCCCGCGACACTGCCCAGGGTGGCGGAGGGTTTGGTTCCTCGTTCTGGAGCCCTGCGGTGGGGCAGTCCGAGGAGCTCCGGCAACCGGCGCTTCTTGTGCAGCAGCAGCACCAGCAACAGCAGAATTCGAGGCGGAAACCATCGGTGAGCTCTGTGCCGGAGAGTGTTACCAGGGAGGATCCTTCCACTAAGTATGAGCTGCTCCATGAGCTTGGTGCGCCTCTTGTTTGGGATTATATTTCCTTTTTGTTTATAATTCTTCCCAATTATTCCGAGCTGTTTGCATAAGCACAACTCAATTGATGAATGCAGGTAAAGGTTCCTATGGTGCAGTGTACAAAGCAAGGGATCTCAGAACACAGGAGCTTGTGGCTATCAAGATCATCTCCTTGACAGAAGGGGTTGGTTTTATAAATTTCAGTTGAGATTGTAAATAACGTCACACTAGTTAGCTGGCACGTGTACAGAATATTCAAATTATAACGTGTATGAAATAAAGACAAACTAAATATTCTGTCTAGTCAATAGTCCCTCTGTTCACGTATATATATCATGTTTGTTTGTTTTTTTTAAAACTTGTATTTATTGTCTCTAATGCAAGAGTTCTACTGCACATTGTCATGTCATATATTACATGATTACATTTTGCAAGATGATTCCAGTGGCATTATTGTCATGTAGCTAGTTTATATACTTCAATCACATATTGAATTCTAAAGTTTAAAACATTGACCACACATGCATGAATTCCACAATGGCCTACCTATATTAGGAGATATAGGGAGGGAGTACTAGCCATCTAATATGGTTAGAACAAAAACACATTTTAATACAAAAAGTTTATCATTATTTATTTTGACGACTTCTTTGTTTCCTACTCTGCCCCACTTGCATATTGACATCGTGTTGTGACTTGTGAGCATTTAACTTTCGTGGATTAAATTGTGACTCTGACAGAATACACAAAAGGATATCCCATTATGACCCTTCGTGTTTCTTCAAAGTCTAAACCTGTCTTTGTTATCAGGAAGAAGGATATGAAGACATACGGGGAGAAATTGAGATGCTGCAGCAATGCAGCCATCCGAATGTCGTCCGCTACTTCGGGAGCTACCAAGGAGAAGAATACCTTTGGGTATAATCCAATGTCCTGATAATATATTCTTATAATATTTTGAGATAGCTACACTATTCTTTTTTTTCCTAATATTTGTCTACTTGTGAACTCATTAATTATGTTTGATGTGTGCTTCAATTTGCAGATAGTTATGGAATACTGTGGTGGTGGAAGCGTTGCTGATTTGATAGGCATAACAGAGGAGCCTCTTGATGAATCCCAAATAGCTTATATATGTAGAGAAGCACTAAAGGTTCATTTTTTTCATACTTCATATGACTCAATTGTATGTAGGATTTAACTATTATCTTAAGTAGCTATGAGCTTTGCTACTTTTATTGCATTAAAATTCGCCATCAGATTTAACGGTATTCTATTAAGCCGGAATAATGCTACAGATGACCTTTAGAGGCCCAACAAAAAACTGGGCACCCTTATGGTGACCATTTCCAGATATTTTACTTGCATATTTTCTGTTGCAGGGTCTTGCTTACTTGCATTCAATTTTTAAAGTTCATAGAGATATTAAGGGTGGCAATATTCTGCTAACTGAGCAAGGAGAGGTGAAGTTGGGTAAGTCAAGTTGTTCTCTGGACCTCTGGTATGCTTCAATTAAATTGTTAGGGCTTGTTTGGGTAGGGATAGGATGGGTGGGATAAGGATGGAGGTTTACACTGAAGATTGGTGAAAGATGGGGAGGATTACCAACTTCCATTTTCTCAATCCCTGTTCCATGCCTCTATCCCTGAATCCAAATACCCAGTTAGTGTTTATTTGAGCCTACATCTGTGAATTTTACAAGACATCTCACGAAACGATGTTTCAAACAGGCGATTTTGGGGTAGCTGCCCAGCTGACGAGAACCATGTCAAAGCGCAACACGGTATTCTTCTCAATTGTGTTTGTTTTGCTATTGTATACACAAAGCTGCAGAACCTTAGTTGTTGATTGTTGCGACAAAAAAGGAAGTGGCTGATACTGTGATACAGTTACTGTAGCAGTTACCACAATGGGGGCGTTCCCATTTGTGCACAACCATTTATTGCTATGTTAATTTGGTGGGGGAAACGGGCATATGTTTATTTTGGATAGAGTATTTCTCCAAGCTGGTCCTATCAATTTTTATGCCACTTGGGTTCCATCCTATTATAGATGGAACAGGGGATGTACTTATGGCTTGTCCCCCAAATATCACCTCATAAGTACCCTCACCGACCCTTTTCACACGTTTCCAACCATTCAGCTATTGCCCTGCGCTTTAGTGCTATGAGGATCTATTTCTTTGCCTCCAGGCATGAGGTGAGAGAGGTATTTTGTTGCAGGCTGGTAAAATTGGGGGAGAAGTGGGAGAAAGATGGAGGGGAAACCATGGCGCAGGCATGTAGTGCACAAATTTTGAGCTTTATGGGTGTGTACAAAAGGGTGACATTAGCTGTCTATAAGAGATGTCACAGTCGATCTTTTTTATGAGGTGGAGGAAAGAGGTACAAGAGAGAGGGAGAGGGAGAGAGTCTCAGCAGAAGAAAAAAAAGCTGTGTGGATGTCATCTGCATTGTGTGGCCTCATTTTTCTAAATTTGTGCCATAGTTAGGATCCTTTACAGGTTAATTGAGAGTTGAGATAATCCATTGTGTTTATTGTCTAAGAATGACCTAGATGGTTAGTACAGACAACAGTAGTCGAGCACCATTGTACATGACATAAGAGTATACCATCTCTTATATCTTTATGACTATGTTTCTGTCTTTTTTCGTAGTTGTCGTTCATCTCTTTTCTATGAGCAGAATAAGCAGCCACTTCTAAAAAACACACATTGACTTTGTCAGATTTACATACCATGCGCTAAGACTGTATCCCGCATACATCAGCTTGCTTATCACCAATTTTGAATACTGGAATGTTGACTTGCTAATCTACTGACATCAAAACACAAAGATGTCCAAACTGGCGGGGATATAATTCTACGAGTGCACGAATCATTTTGCTAGCTACTCCCTCCGTTCCATAATATAAGGCACAACTACTTTTTTTTTATGTTCCATAATATAAGGCAGGCATGCATGCATGCATGCATACAATTAATTAGGACCTCTTCTCCATTAAATTATTACTTTTTTTTAAATTCTCCATCCTTAGTATCTCTAATTCTATTGGATGCATGCATTATATTTATTAGGGTGATCCAAACTAGGAGATGATAATAATTGTTTCTTGGTCTTTGGGTTAAGGGTGGTTGTGCCTTATATTTTGGAACGGAGGGAGTAATATTTTTGGGGGGTTGCATTTTCACAAAGCATATATCTTAACCGCACACATGCAAATTTTTGTAATTCAGTGTTTTATGTTTATGCCTGTCAGTTCATTGGCACTCCACATTGGATGGCACCTGAGGTTATTCAAGAAAGTCGCTATGATGGAAAGGTACTCTCTCTCTCTCTCTCATGCACATTCACAATTATGAATGTGAGTGCATTGTTTTCCATTATATTTATATAACTACTCCCTCCTTCCAAAAGTCTAAGTCCTATTTGTAGTCGCTATGTGCTAAATTAAATTGTTGATCGGAACCCAAGAAGCCATTTTAGTACTTATTGGTTGCATGTTCATTGGTTTTGTCACATGGTGAATGAATTAATTACTTCTTGGTCTTGGTGCAAAAAGAAATAGGACTTAGACTTTTGGATGGAGGGAGTACTAGGTTACTGCAGATGATGCATTCTAGCAATATTTATGCATTTTGCATTCGGATTAGGAGCTTCGAAGTCTCTGCTTTGAGATTCTTTGCAGGAATATTTGTCTACTTGGCTTTGGCATAAACGTTCTCTTTAAAAGCCACATGAAAAAGTTGTACCTTGGGTTTTGGACATATAAGTTTTTTAGTTTGTACTGTACTAAACATGTGATGTCTTTTTTTTGGTACTTTCCTTGATGGTTCCTGAAGAGAAAAGTTAATACCTGATAGTATAAACTTCTAAGGAACACACCAATGTCACAGCGTTGAGGAAATACAGTTTGAATTTTCTCCTTCTTCCACTGTTGTAGCAAAGCTAATAATGCATGCTTGTTTTTCCCTTTTCAATATCCAGGTGGATGTGTGGGCATTAGGTGTATCTGCAATTGAAATGGCAGAGGTAGGAAACATCATTTGGTCCTTCCTTTTGAAACTGTATAGTTGTTCATTTAACCTACTAGTTCTGTGATGGATAAATATTTATCCTTAATCAAATTTTTTTTGTGGTGTCTCTGACTGTAGGGTATGCCACCGAGATCCACCGTGCATCCAATGAGAGTAAGAAGAAGACTTCTTGATTCATTTAAGTGGTTATAAATTTATCATAGCTACTTTGATGCATTTTGCTTTGAATCCCTTTGCTATTCTATGTATCCTGGTTTCAGTGATGAATTTTCCTGCTATCAGTTATTTCCTCTCTTTTTCCCAATAATGTTTCATGCATCATTATATTTCTTTTAACTATTTGGTTGTATTCCATGGATGCATGGATATATCATATATTCTTAAATAAGCGAATCGAAGCTGTTGTTATCCCTGAATCATTTGTTTCTTCACTTCTTGCTATATATTTGATAAAACCATAGATTTTTTTTATTCCATCATTCTGCTTGAAGGTTGAAGCTTGAGCTAATTACATATCTTTTGCCCTTACTGCAGGTGATCTTTATGATATCTAGTGAACCCGCACCAATGCTCGAGGATAAGGAGAAGTGGTGAGTGCCATCTAATACACCATGAACTGTTGTGCTTCTCTGAGTACCTCAGTACCAGGAACAGCTGATAAGAGCATGGTTATAAAACTTTCAGACCAGAGATCATTTCAAGGCTCCTGTTTCTTTTGATCTGTGAAGAAATTATAACAGTGTCAGCTGTGACCTATTTATCAAGGAATAAACTATACATTTTTTTTGTGCGTGTTGGTTACTATAGTTAGCAGGTTTCAAAACCGAGGCTGAACCAATTGTCCATCAATATTATTATTTCCCTGCACATAACAATTTAGTCATCACGTATTTGACATAAATTATGATTAAACTCCTCTAGAGCAAACCTTATGAGCCGAACCATTTGGAATGAGCTGGTGGAAAACTACGGTAGAAGCATCAATATATGGTGTCTTTTTAATTTATACTAATTGAGGTGGCACTTTGTGAAGTTCTTATATGCTAATCTCCTGCCTCTATAATCAAGTGCACTGTCTGTCATGAATTAGGAGCCCATCACAGGTACAGTTTGACACAATTGTACCAAGCAAATATGTTGATGCTGATGTAGTTAACACAAACAAGATGCACTTCAGTCAACAGTATCAACCATTGACTCCTTTGCCTATGTTCATTCCATTCAATATATTTAGATTCTCATGCTTTCGTGTGGATAAGGTGGCTATTTTTATGTTTGCCTTCTAAACTATTGTTGTTGTAGGTTTTCAAACTCTAGTCTTAGATATTTATGTCAAAATCTAACTTGGGCATGAACAAATGACAAGTGTATTCTAAAAGTAGTCAAACTTTAATTTACCCCCTTTGCTCATCCACTAATTCTTGTTATTAGCTATTTCTTTGGTCAAGGGCATCAAATGAAACGTTCTTGAGCATTGGTTGGTCTAAGTTCTTGTTACCCTATCCTTCAGGTCCCTTCTTTTCCATGATTTTATTGCCAAGTGCTTAACAAAAGATCCAAGACTTCGCCCAGCTGCAAGTGAGATGCTGAAGGTACTTCATACTAGCTTAGGTCAACTTTGTTATGCATTTTCATGATTATTTGTTCCTACATTTAATTATGTCACTCTCATCCTCTCCCACCAATTCTTTATGCAGCACAAGTTTATTGAAAAATGCAACCCTGGAGCTTCGAAAATGTTGGCAAAAATCAAGGAAGCAAAGAAGATCAGAGCAAAAGTAGCTGCGGAGACCGAGCTATCTGGCCCTGACAGTGTATGTTAAACTCGATTAATGATATGTGCATTGATTTTTTGTCAATGTGGTATTCTTCTTTTGATGTCTGTAGACAATGCAGGATGCAACTGTTCGAATTAATGATGACTTTGGAGAAACTGTTCCTACAAACCCTCAGCAACAAACAAATCACGAAACATATGATGGTGGGGCAGGTAATTATAAGTGATGACCCTGCAAATATAATAAATCTATATTCCCTCTATATATCCTACACATCAATTTCCGTTTTTCTTTTTTGGAATCTGTTGTTTCATTGGGACTTTCCTCCTTATGCGATCTTTCGTCAAATGTTCCATTCTCCCTCTAGGGTGCTAATGATAAACAGCAAACCTGAAAACCTGATATATGATGTTCATGAGCATTAGGTATTTCTGGTTAACTCCAATTCGTGCAACTTCAAAATTACTTGTCCTTATGACTCTTCTATATAACAAAGTTTTATTTTGATTGAGCACTCAATATTAGTGCTTGCTTTTTTCCCCCAGTCTTGTCCTCTCCACTTGAAACAACCACTAAATCGTTTCTCCTTACAGGTGATTTTGGTACAATGATAGTTCATCCTGAAGACGGCGACGAAGTTGATGAATCACCCATCTTCCCAAGTTCAGAATTCATACCAGGCCTTGGGAGCATAAACTCTTTCACACATGATCCAAAGAGGGCCGAGCTTATTTCAAATTTTTGGTATGATAAACAGAAAATAATTTTGTTCTGTATGTTTTTCATTCAGAAAGCAACATAGCAAAAAACGAAAAGCTTTCTCCCATCAGAAATAAAGTTTATGTATAACATCTTTATCAGGGCGGAGAACACAGCTGATATTGAAGCCAATAAAGAGCAATATCTAGATGAACATCCTGATATGCAGGAAGCAAAAACAATGCCACCTTCAACTGGAACGGTTAAAAAGCTTAAAGTTGCAGAAGGGACTATGCCACGCCATGGTAATCAAGTTAGCTCTGCCTCACCAGGTGTTGCTAGCACAATGACCAAATTAAACAGCAGCCCCAGCCGTAAAGCATTCTCAGTTCAGGATAAGGTATATACTTCGTGGTTGGTTGCCTCAGATATTTAACGTTATAGTTATGAACCAGACCAAAATACTTAGATTAGTAATGCAGTTGTACACCCCTCTCCTTTACCCTGCACAAATTGAAAATGCCTCTATAATTTTCATTTTTGTAGCTCTGGTCAATTTATGCTGCGGGCAACACCGTTCCTATACCATTCCTCAAGGCAATTGACATTTCACCACTAGCTCTAGTATCAGATAGTGTAGTAGGAAATGGCCTAGCTGGGTCAAATAGAACTGATGCATTGGAGGCAGTTAGGGAGCTTTTCAGTGGTGATGGGCAGACAAAGAAAGGGCGCAAAGGGCAAAATGAGGTATGATTCAGACCCTTTTTAAAGTAATAGCACTAATTCTCTTGCCCATATGTGTTGTCTCTGATATTGGGTTTACTTGCATTAGGTTCCTCTTCCTCCTGGGGTGCACCACAGATTGACCACAAGTCCCACATTGATGAACCTGGCCCAAGCCCTTGCTTACCACAAAACGTGAGTTGTCTGCACCAATGTTTGTTGATCTTTCTTTTACACAAAAATTAAAGTAATTGAACAGATTTTTATGCATTTCTTCCATAAATATTTGGCACAGGTGTTACGAGGACATGCCTCTGCAAGATTCGCAAGCAACGCAAGAGCAGCAGACAATACAGAACCTTTGTGATACACTTCGAACCATCCTGAGACTCTAGTCTGTGGACATGCATGAGTAAAAGATACGACCTTGGAGCATTTCGAACATCGAAATGCTGCGCCGAGTAAAGGGCTGATTTTGGCTTCTCAATTTGATGCCGAGATCGATCCGGCCAGTGTGTAGGGTAAGTCTGTAACCAAAAGCAGGCACGGCATAGTGCGTACTGCAGAACAATGCTGACGGAGCTTGCCATTAGCTTATAGATGCTGGGTGACCTTGAAGCTGGATAGGCGGAAGGAATTCCTGTTTTGGAGATGGAAATTTTGTCTGATGTTAATAGCAGGTATTTATGTGGGCAGTGTATGTAGAGATTGCATTCGACCTTTTGCTAATCAAATTTTGCGGCTCAAATGGTGACGTGTACTCAGGCTTTGTATTTTTAACATATTTCATTTGTTTTTCCCAAGAATAAAGAGAAATAGTATTAGTACCTATGGTATTCTATCCGTTGTCAGATGAAAAGAGCATGAGTGCTGTCCATGAACCCAGTTCCTCCTGATCGATGGCTTGAGTGTTGTGTATGTTGACCGAAATCTATACTGTAGCACTATGTTGACCAAAATCTGGAGCGGCACGGTTCGTGCTGTTACAGGGCGTCTCCGGAACGAAGTCTATTGGCTCCAGCTTTCTTGCAAAGAAAGATGCACAGCGAAAAGTCTATGGTCCATTGTTCCACTTCCACAAAGTTGATGTAAGTACCCAAATTGCCAAATCATACCGACAGACGACAGTTTGTATTTATCAGTACAAAACTTTGTTATCGAAAGATATCGAGGCCTCCTTTAGAATGGAGATATTTAAAGATAATTTGAGAAGATTTTTAGTTAACTTTTATAGACAATGTAAAATTCCTACTCGCGCTGGAGTGACACTATGATTTAGATTACCAAAATATCCTGTCTCGCAGAGAAGACACTAAAGGTGAGAACTAGAGAATACAATAACATTTCCTGTGATGAAGTTGTGCGAATGCGACCCTACCTATCTTTATATAAATTCGATGTATCCATGTCCATTTACCCAGGGCATATGCTTTACGGATTTCATTAGGCGCACATGCTATCATAGCTGCTGTTTTGTTAGGTATATCGAATCGAAGAAGAGACATTCGAATAGTGCGCATCATGGTGGTAGCCTGGTAGGATCCCGGTTTGCCTTAAAAAAAGTTTGAATCCTTCCAGTAGCGAGTGGCGATGCGGTGCACCGGGATTGGGGAGGGAGCCACAGCCAGCCGCCAGGTGATACCTGTCTCGGTTGCGCTCGCCCTCCCGCCTGTCCTGCACCCGCGCCGGTGCGATGCTGCGAAGCATGTGAATGTGTCCATCGGCGCACGCCGCAACAGCACACGCCACGAGGCAAACACAGTACGGTACAAAAAAGGCCCATCCCACTGTCTCTCGCTCGCCTCGTCAAGTCAGTCTCCCTCTCCCCGCGCGGCCGCGCCCCACCCACACAAACCCTCCACCACCACCACCCACCCACCCATCCGTTGGCCACCGGCGGCGTGGGCGGAGGGCGGCGGGCCGGCGGCCATGGGGAAGAACCTGCGTATCAAGACCGGCAACCGCGCCCCGCTCCTCGCCCAGGGGGTGTGTTCCCGTTCCCCGCCTTTCTGTCTCTTCTCCCTGTATCTCTCTCTCTCTCTCTCTCTCTCTCTCTCTCTCTCTCTCTGTCTCTGCTTTTGCGCGGCTAATTCTGCTTCCGTGTGGCTCGATCGCAGGAGACGTCGAGGGCGCTCTCCGATCTCGAGGAGGGGAGCAACGTCCAGGTTCGGAGCCGAATCCGCTTTCCTCGATTGCACCCGAGTGGTGCAGCTGCTGCTAGAGCGATGCACCGATGGCTAAATGGCTAATTTGATTTCATTTTTTTTTCTCTTTTGCCCCTTCGTCTGATTGTGATCATCTCAGCCGGAGAACGTCGGGTTCTGCCGCGTCATCAAGTTGGTGAGTCCATGCTCTGCACTAGACGAGGGAAAAAAAAACATTCTGGTTATTTTTGATGATGCGGTTGATTAATTGCTGAACACGTGAGCCATATGGGTTGCAGGCGAGGCATGACGCGGGGAAGCTGGTTATTGCCACCATGGCGCTGCTCGTCGCTTCGCTCAGTAACATTCTCGTTGTAAGTACTCGCCACTTGTTGATTGAGTCAGAGCCAATTTAAGCTCTGTTGTGTTGTTCTGATGCCGAAACTGCGAAAGCACGATACATTGGTTCTTGTAAACAAAGGTCTTTTAAAAAAAAGCTGAAATAGTACATAATTATGGGAGTCTCATTTGATCTTTGACCTAACACTATAACAATCTGAAGAGTTATTTTTATATCTGAAAAGTGTAGAGCAGGATCAAAGGGTGTTGCAGCTCTTATCTCAGTATCATTGTTGCACATTTTTCTTGTTGTAATGTTTGGATCATCTTGTGCTATCCCACAGCCGAAATATGGTGGAAAGATAATTGACATTGTTTCAAGAGATGTTCGGCGTCCAGAAGATAAAGCTCAAGCCCTAGATGATGTGACGGGCACAATATTGTATATTGTCATAATCGTCGTAACTGGGTATCTTCTTGAAAACCTTGAATTAATATTGTAAAGATGCACTCTGTCTATGTCATTACCAACTTTCGTTTGTTCAGGACAAATCTGGTAGGTCTAACATGCTGCAATTTTTAATTAGTAATTATTAAACCATTAATATCTAATACTACACATTTTTAGAAAGTAATTAACACTAATGTGATAAACAAAAGTGGTATTATTTACGGAAATTTCATCAGTCAACTGCCCCTGTTTCAGTTCAGTTTGCACAGCGCTTCGGGCATGGCTATTCAATTCTGCTAGTGAGAGAGTAGTTGCTCGACTGAGGAAGGACTTGTTTAGTCATCTAGTAAATCAGGCAAGTACCTTACTTCCATCGAAATTTTTTCAGTGTTAAAGAAGTATTGCATGCAGCTATATTCATTCTCAACAGCTTATCTTGTGCAAACACAGGAAATAGCATTTTTTGATGTCACTAGAACAGGAGAGCTATTAAGCAGGCTTTCTGAAGATACGCAAATAATAAAGAATGCTGCTACAACTAACCTTTCAGAAGCATTGCGCAATATTACTACTACGTCTATTGGTCTTGGTTTTATGTTTGCAACTTCATGGAAATTAACATGTAAGTTCATCAATTCCAAATGTTTTTTTTTGCTATATTTAAAGAACTTGTTGGTATTTTATTTTGGTTTTGTGAGGCTTAATTATGTACTTTGGCTTCATATGCTTAACTTAAACTTTTCAGATTAGCATTATTTTCCTTTCAAATCACTAAAGTGTGTTTGTCTTTTGATTTTATACAATTACTGTCTCACTGTGTATGTGTGATCTCTGTAAAACTGAAGTAAACCTCATTCCTACTTTCTTCACAGTGCTGGCACTTGTAATTGTTCCGGTTATATCAATTGCTGTGCGCAAATTTGGACGCTTTCTTCGTGAACTTTCACATCAGACACAGGCAGCAGCTGCTGTTGCTTCATCCATAGCCGAGGTTTGTAGCATCAGAACATCCCGTTGTAGTTCATTGAGAATTTGAGCAAGTTAGTTTTTTTATTGAATCTTTTTTTCTTTAGGTGCCATCACCAAATATAAAAACCAAATATGTGTTTTAGTTTGATTGCTAGCATATGGTAGAAGTAAAATCCTAGGCTCTTCATTTTTGTTCCTTGACAAATCTATCTAATTGTGTTCAGGAATCTTTTGGTGCCATTCGCACAGTAAGATCGTTTGCTCAGGAGAGTCATGAAGTCTTACGATATGGTGAGAAAGTAGATGAGACACTGAAACTCGGTCTCAAGCAAGCTGTGAGTATGCTACCATTAATGTAAAATCAGCGACTTATGGCACAACCGATCTGATTCAACGCATTCTTTTGTAGAAAGTTGTTGGCATGTTTTCTGGAGGGCTCAATGCAGCATCAACCCTATCAGTGGTCATTGTAGTTATTTATGGCGCTAACTTAACCATCAACGGTTACATGACAACTGGTTCTCTCACATCGTTCATTTTGTACAGCCTTACAGGTATTGTTCAGTTTTGTGGGTATTGTGTTACTGGACCTAATGATACCATATATTATATAACTTCACATCTAGAAGTCGTCACTGGCCATCATGTTTGGTATGTTTTGATCTTTCTGAACAATTATATTTCTTGCATATGCAGTTGGGTCGTCAGTCTCTGCCTTGTCAGGACTATACACAACTGTAATGAAAGCATCGGGCGCAAGCCGACGAGTATTTCAACTTCTGGACCGTGTTTCCTCAATGGCAAATTCCGGGGACAGATGCCCAACAAAGTATGTTTCTAATGGTATATCAGCATTCCTGTTTTGTTCTACCTATCGTCTTTGACATTTCGTTTATTCCAGTGAAAATGATGGGGAGGTTGAGCTCGACGATGTCTGGTTTGCATATCCCTCTCGGCCTTCTCATATGATTCTGAAGGTATAATATTTTCTCAACGCATTACTTTGCAGACTCACAGCTGATATGATAACTTAGAATTTTGAAGATTTGATAATTTTCCTAGCATGGTGTATGTCAATAAAAAGCTAGCCATTGAAATTGCATCGCTTATAATTCTTGTTCATTTAGTATCATTGGTTCATTTTTCTGAAAAAAAAAAGTTTAACATTCCGATTCAGATCTTTTACCATGTTTTATCTGCAACATAACAGCAATATCTACTACAAACTTTACCAAATAGAGTATTAGTTTCCTGTCATTGTAGCTGTTTTATATGGAAGAAATGGATAGGTTTGACTTGAAATATCTGAAAGTTTTAGATTGCATGTGGGTTAAATAATTATATGCTTGAACTCATAAAATAAGTAATTACATTAAAATGATATGTATACAATCTTTCAACAGGTTTACCATGAGCATGGAACTTTTTTTTCAACTATGGCAAAATCCACATTGCATATATCAGCTTAAGATTTTATCTAATGCCATCAAATTGCAGGGAATAACGTTGAAGTTAACACCAGGTTCAAAGGTAGCTCTTGTTGGGCCAAGTGGTGGTGGGAAAGTGAGGACTGTTTTCCTATATGCGAATTACTTGGCATGTTGTTTGGCCGATGAATTTGTTTTTCAATTGCACTTTACAATTTGAACATCACATTTTTGCAGACTACAATAGCAAATTTAATTGAACGGTTTTATGACCCTCTAAAAGGAAGAATCTTGCTTAATGGAGTGCCTTTGCCAGAGATTTCACATCAGTTTCTCCACAGGAAGGTAACGTTTGTGCAACTATTTGTCATATAGTGAACTGTTTACTTGTTATTAACACGGAAACAAGTATTTCTATAGTAACTTCACATATGGTTGTATTGTTAGGTTCACATTCCTAATGGCTGGTTTGATAGTACTTCAAATCTTTGGCCGTAATGTCCTTTAAATTCAGGAATCTTGTAAATCCTGTAAACATGGTTCAACAATATAATCTAGAAGTACTTTAGAATTTAATAACACTCACTTCAATAATTTCGGAACCTTTACAATTAGGAGCTCGTGATAGAAATAGATGTGCATGGTTATCTTAGTTCAGAAAATGTTTGTCTAATTTCAGGTTAGCATTGTTAGTCAGGAGCCTGTGCTCTTTAACTGCTCCATCGAAGAGAATATTGCTTACGGATTAGAGGGCAAAGCCAGCTCTGCTGACGTTGAGAATGCAGCTGTAAGTATCTGTTACAACTACTAACCACGCTGAAATTTTATTTTATTTTTGGAATATCTTACATTCTCATTAGCTAACTTCTGGATGCAGAAAATGGCAAACGCCCACAATTTCATATGCAGTTTTCCAGACCAATACAAGACTGTAGTTGGAGAGCGAGGCATCAGGTTATCAGGTGGGCAGAAGCAGAGAGTCGCCATTGCAAGAGCTTTGCTTATGAACCCTCGAGTGCTCCTCTTGGATGAAGCTACCAGTGCACTAGACGCTGAAAGCGAGTATCTTGTTCAGGTACCTCTATCACACCACCGCTTCTAATTGCTGACCTGATTCCAAGTTTCCAACCAAAAAAAACAAGCAGTTATCTACTTATCTTTCTTCAATGCCCTGATGCCTCTGTACCCATCAACATATGATGATGATATGAACATGCTTGATCTCTTGCTTGGAGAGCCAGAATATGACATGGTTCTTCCTTGATGCCACAGGATGCAATGGACTCTCTGATGAAAGGGAGGACCGTGCTTGTGATAGCTCACCGGCTATCCACCGTCAAGAGCGCCGACACCGTCGCCGTCATCTCCGACGGCCAGATAGTGGAGAGCGGCACGCACGACGAGCTCCTCAGCCGCGACGGCATCTACACGGCCTTGGTGAAGAGGCAGCTGCAAGGGCCAAGGTTCGAAGGCACCAGCAACGCAACAGCCGAGATAGAACCCATAAGCAATGGCCAATAGACAAATATAGCCTCTTCTGCATAGTACTTGATTTTTGTCCCTTCTCCGGGCAGGTGGACACCGTTTCCTGATGATCCACTGAATGTAAACGGATATGAATGCATCCACTCTGAAAATGCCACGCAGTCCCGCACAACAGTACAAACACATTCTAATTGTCACGAGCTGCTGCTGTGTCTTACACAATTAACTCGCTTATTTTTTTATAGAATGTAATTATGCCTTGATGGCGTGATGTTGCGCGGATGGGTAATGACCGCAATCAATATTGTGTTGCTTGATTGCTTCTCACACGACTTAGTAATTCATTCTCTTCGTACGCTATAAGTATATAAATACTTTTAGAAGCTCTAACACATATTAAGATTAAGGTTTACTAGAAAAAATACTCATGCGTTGCAACAGGTGAAGTTTATTTTAATCTTATTATTGTTATATGGTTTAGTTAAAATGAAATTCATTGTGGAAGTTCGCTTGGATATATATATTTTTAAGAAAATCATGAACTGCAGTTAGGAGTCCGATGGTCTCAAGTTAGCATGCAAGTTTTTTTAAACAAATTTATTATATGATTTCTTATGTATTACCAAAGTGAATGATCTTAAAAACCGACTCAAAAAAGGATCAAATACGGATATGTATTTCCAAAACCAAACGAACTTAAAACCGACTCAGACATGATGACGTACCAAAATCCTGACAAAAACATCTTCAATTTTTATAATAGTAGAGATAGAGAAGAGATATAGATTAAAAACAAAACATAAAATTAAAACCGACTCAAACACAAATGACAAACCGCAGAAACATCTCCAAATTTAATAACCGACCTAAACACGGATGACGGACCACGAAAACATCTTAAATTTTTATAATAGTAGAGAAGTGAAATCATTTTGACATCCTTGGTAGTTTTACTTCACTGGGAAAGATAACGCTAGGTGATAGCGACTATAACAAAAATAAATATATGGAAATCATCAGGATGACAGATTTGGGAAGCAGTATTCTTGAAATACAATATTTTGAACAAATTTTAAATGCTAGAAATATTTATATTTGTGAATGAAGGGAGTATCAATTTTAATTTTATAAATAAACTCTAAAATATTATTTTAAAAATGAATCTTTTGGTCATGCCATCTGAGTTGATATGGCTGGATAACAGTAACAGTCACGCCATGTCAATGGCAACATACCACATGGCGTTGCAAAAGCCCTTATCACACTACGATTTTTTACCAACTTGAAAACATTGCTTCAATCCACTCTATGGTTGCAAGTCGGGAATCGGGAATAAGTCTCAAAGAGATTGGGTGGCGCCTAACCTTGGTTATGCAAAGATAAGTGTTGATGGATTTTCCTATGTAGAATTCGGCGAAGCAAGAATGGCAACAAAAGCACCTTTTAATGGTTTTGGCAGTTCAATTTTAGTAAATTAGCCAAGGTATGTTTAGACGAATCAGCCCTATTTATTACTTTTGCTACCACTTGCATAGAATATATCATATCCTATAAACCGCTGTGAACAAATGATTTTTCTATTAATAATTGGCCCAACCAATCAAATAATGGGATTTTTTGCATGGTATGAGAGTAGGTCTCTCCTCTATATAAGGAAAAGCAAAAGTTAGACGATTGAGTGAAAGTAGCTCATATTTGGTAAAGTATAAGTAGAAGATCACGCCCAAGCCTAATAGTTCCATTTCAACCTCGAGGGGAATTATGCATACGGGAGTCATGCTGCTACCTTTATAGAATTTATATGGCATGGTGCAAATGTGGAAGAAATGAAGATACTAGTTTGTTGAGAGGTGTTTGCATTGCCTATAGAATGGATTTGGAAAAGATGAATTATTTGTTGGGAAATAACCTCTCGGCTAAGGAAATGAGAGAGAATCACGCGGCCTGTTTCCACCAGTTGGCCCGCGTGATTAACACACATAACTCACGATTAGTTTCCTTCAAGCGTGATGGTTTAGACGCACGGTTTTTCTGTAACGGCTTGTTTGGTAACTCGAGGAAGGGAATTGGGAGTTTACACGAGAAAATTGATGATGAGATTAAAATGGAAATTTGATTTTTAATCCCAGCCATCTTGTTTGGTAGAGATGATGGAAATTGATAGGGAGTTTAGTTGGAGATTAGATCATTAATAAAAACGGATGGCTGAGATTTGCTTAGATAAAATAAAGGAGAAATTCCCTCCCAATTACCTGCCCCTACCCAGGTATTGAAAAGGTGGGAGTTTCTTCCTCAATTCCTCATCCCCATCCCACCAAAATTCATATGTCTCCCAACCAAACAAAACACTTAATAGCCTCATCCCTCTATACTCCCAATCTCTCCTAAAAACTCTCTCCAACCAAATGGGCCGTGAAGGACTCGCCCCCGATCCCCTCACTGCACACAATATAAAGGAATCGCTACTGTTTTGTTGGTGATGACTAACGTAAGGATTAGCCAAAACTAGAACCCTTTGTGGTGTGGTGTTAGAGTTGTGGATGCACCAGGGTTCAAATCTTGGTGTCCGCGAATATTACGCAAATGCATGTGTGCTTCCAACAGGATTTTAATGAGATTAGGGGCATGCCATTGATTTCCATATCTTAGAGCATGTGTTAAGGGACACATTCACGGAGGTGTGTGTGGTGTTGTGCAGTGGCAGAGCCAGGATAAAATTATAGCGGAGGCTAAAACAAAATGACCAAGAGCAACTAAGAGAGATTTAGTTCCCCGCAAAAAAAAACTAAGAGAGATTTAGGGTTGGGTTATGATTTTTTGGGCCTTTTTAGCCTTTTGGGCCTTCTAACAACCTCAAACAAAGTCTATATTAGCCCCTCATCTATAAATATATGGATTAGAATTTTAGGGAGGTATTATGGGGGCTCTAATGGTATATTAGGGGGTAGGGGGGTCTAAAGACCCCCCCTCCCCGCCCCCACGCTGTCTCCTCCCCTGGTGTTGTATGTGTAGTGGTGTGTGCATGTGTGTGTCTACCGTGTAATTTAAAAAACAAAAGAGTTGAAAATAAAAAAAAAGGTTAATTGGATCCATGCTACTGCAACTTTGCCAAATTCAAAAAATACCACTATTATTTCTGATATCGGCCGGGTGCCATAGGTATTTTGCAAAATTTGAACCATGCCACTGTATACGTCTTGGACATGGTTAGACCAGGTTTTTTTCAAACCGTATTTTCGTACGGATCAAAATACCCCCAATCCTTAGAGGATGACAAGTGGGACCCATCTTGTCATACTATCTTTTTCCACAGCCCTTCTCTATCTCTGCGAGGACGGCGACTGGAGCTCGACGGCAACGGCATCGGTTTAGGAAGCTTGACGAGGCCGAGTCGTGCGCAGGAGCTCGAGGAGGACGACAACAGGTCTTCGAGTCTTGTTCGTGTCGCCGCCGTCATCGTTTTCGAGAAGAATGGGGATGGATCTCACCGCGTCTTTGAATCTTCACCGCCACTGGGCATCCTCGCGCTGCTCCGCGCCGAGCCGCAGCCGGACCCGCCGTCCACCGCTGCGATGAGCTCACCACGACCTCGCCGCCACCATTGAATGTGCTCCCTCGACTGCCAGACTACCACCGGCGGCGGATTTGCTTGAGCCACCACCGAATCCGTGCCACCGCCATCGTCGTCTTCGAGAAGGATGGGGATGGATCTCACCGCCGTCTTCGAGTCTTCACCACCACCAGGCGTCCTTGCGCTGTTCCGCGCTGAGCCGCAGCCGAACCTGATGACCACCATTGCAACGAGCTTGCCACGGCCTCACCGCTACCATCGAACGTGCTCCCTCGACCGCCAGACCTGCCACCGGCGGCGGATTTGCTTGAGCCACCGCCGAATCCGTCCCCTCCCGCCGGCCGCCACCACCACTGCTGCTTGCTGCGTTGTTGATTGGATTGTTGCTGCTCGATTCGTGGTTGATGCTGTCGCTGTTGAGATTATGGGCATATAATGATTTAATTTATTCCATAAATAAATCATGACATTACAGATGAAAACTAGCATGAACGCATCATTAAACAAAAACGAATCCGAATTTGCAGCAAAACAAAACTGCAAAAGGAGGCTGCATCTGCGCAAGGGTGAGGAGCCAATTTTTCGGACCATTCGACGCGTACGTCGTGCACGCGCGCCGCCTGCCCTGCCAGGCCAGGCGAGGCGAGGCGAGCGCGCGCGTGTGTTTCCCCTCTTCTCTCCACCACACATGCTTCAAGTGGCTAGGAGGGCATCCTCCCTTTTAAGGAGGTCCCCCTCTCCTAGAATAAGCAAGGTGGTACTAAACTCCACATGCATGCCATCCCATGAGGTGGGCTTTTGTGATTTTCCAAAGAATTAATCTTCGAGTGGGCTAAGGCCCATTCATTAATTCCAACAATCCCCCACCAAATCTCAAAATCCCACTGAGATTTGCCTTTTCCAATGTACTGTTTATATACCAGCGGTTCGATGGAGACCAATTAAGGTTGAACATCCACCTAGAACTCCAAGCTACACTTACTCACAACTTGAACAATGGACTACGCCTTGAATTGCAAGTCTTGTGCAAGCAAGTTTCACTCAAAGTCTTATCTGGTACTAGACCGTCTGTAGACTACCCCTCGGGTGGAGCGTATAAGTCATACTCCTAGGTCTTTAGTAAGCTTCCTAGAAGATTCACCCAAAATCTTCATGGACTGCGACCAACAGTCAAGCTCACAAAGGTGAGTTCCTTCAAGAATGCTCTGCAGGACAACATCTTTGCTAATTAAAGCCAACAGAACTCATTAAGGCATAGCCAACCTGCCTTGCAGCTCACGAGAGTATATGCATCTTCACTTAGAGAGGGTATATATATTGGTACTCTCCTCTAGTTTATTAATGGTTTGTTCTTCCCAGGATCTAATTCACGGGATCTCCGATCACATAGACTGGGTTACCACCATAGTATAACTCACATGGGTCTCAAACCCATCTCCTTCGATGCATTGTCTATCACATTTCGTGATAGTCCCTTCGTGAAGGGATCTGCCAGGTTTCTCGCTGTTTGGATGTAATCCAACGTTATAACTCCGGAGTTTCTTAATTTCCTGACAGACTTCAATCGTCTTTTCACATGTCTAGACGATTTCATATTATCCTTAGAACTATTCACTTTGACAATTACCGTTTGATTGTCACAGTTCATAAGGATAGCCGGCACCGGTTTTTCAACAACAGGCAGATCCATTAATAGATCACGCAACCATTCTGCCTCAACAGTAGCAGTATCCAGTGCCGTTAGCTCTGCTTCCAT